TTTCAAATCTCCTCTTCATCTGTGAGGAAATAGTCCAGAATTCACTGCCATGTAGGAGGATTGGTATTTAATAGTATTCCAGCACTTCTTTTTTGGAAGGTATCTTTTGCTATTCCAATGTGCCTTATCCGTTATGAATCTTTCTGAGTTCCAATGAGAGAATTCACATTGCTACTTGACTGAATAAAAGAAAAATAACTGTCCCTGTGTTCTAGTTTTACTCTTAGGAAAACACGAGCAAAATGATTATCTGTAGTACTATCAAGAAGTTGATTTGAAAATCTATTATAATTTTTAAAAATTTCATCCACATTTTTTTTTTGTTTTTCTCTTTTCCTTTTACTTCATTTTCTTGGTACACACACAAACTGACAAGAATACACACAAATGTTTCAGTTCTTTAATTAACTATGAATTTAATTATGGGCTAAAATATTTTCAGATTTAAAAATAAATTTATTTTTAATGTTATGCGTCAGTAAGTTTAATGCTTCTGTAAAGATGAATGTTTTCAAAAAGTGAATATCAGTGACATTCAGATTAACTAATGGAGTCTTAACTTTTAAAAATGCATTTTGTTTTTTCTTCTTACTTTTAATTATTTCAATATATGAAACAAAAATGAATAAGAATTATAATAAAAATAATAATTTTTGATTAAAATTATCAAGAATTATAATCAATATAAATGGGAATTTATAATAAAAAGAATTTATAAAAATAAATGAGATTATAATTAAAATTAATAAGAATCTAAAATAAAATAAAACAGGTATTTATAATAAATTAATGAGGTTACAATTATTGAAAAATAAATAGGGACTTATAATAAAAATGAATAGATTTATTATAAAAGTAATAAGAATCTACACTATAAAAATAAATTCTCTGTCCTCCTTATTGCAAGAATTATTTAAACTCCTCCTGGCTGGTTTTATTGCTACATTTCATTTGATGTGTCCTTTGATTATTTTTCTCTCCTGTGTATAGTTTAACCTGTCAGTTTATAAATAAAAACAAATAATGAAAAAAAATACTAAATATTATTAATTCTTTTAATAGTAATTTTCATTTTAATTTCACTTGCCTTTCTTTGGAACCATGGTCATTAGTAAACAATATGAATTGAAAATGAAGAATAAGTTCTTGGTGAGACTTTTATTTCTGACTGGTACTGTTGATGTCGTTCTACAGAAGGATGCTGAGAATACCATGGATGGTGCATGTAAGCAAGAAATTTTACAGAATATAGAGACAAATAGGACATTTAGAATAAGACAGACATGGTTGAAATTTCTAGGACACATAATGGGGGAAAAGGCTCAGAAAATTTGACACTCACAGGATATATTGAAAGCAAGAGAAGCAGAAGGGAAACAGCAAGCAAAGCTACTTATGAGTTTGTTTAAATGGATGGCAGAACAAGGATTAGGAGGGATAGTAAAAAGACAAAGTGTTACAAAGGATAGGAAGTTGGGGAGAGCCATTATTGCCCATGTTCTAAGGGTTTGTTCTAAGGGTTTCATATTTTTATCTATTTTTTTCTATGTGTCATGTCGACATAGAAAAAATACATAAAAATAAGTTAATGATAATTGAATAAAGAGTGTTAATTATTGTAAAGAAGCTAGGATCAGTTGTTTGGTATTAAAAGAAATTAATTTCTTTTTTTTTTTTTACTTAAAAAATTATTTAATGTACAGCCCCATTATATTATCAATATTATAATTATTATTATATATTATGAAAAGTATTTTCCAGCCCTTTACTCCAATGCTTATTTCATGTAAACATATGACTATTGATATCATTAGTATATTATTAATATCATTATACATATTAAGGTGTGAATAATAAAAACAAAAGAAAAAACTTATCTTAGCCAACATGTTTAATCCTTTGTGGGACTTTATCAAAGCAAATGCAAGGATTTGATTTTGTAACAAGTATTTACATACAAGATCAAAATTGATATTGGTTTTCAAAATTCTTGAGTTAGGAATGCTTATAAATATTCATCATGTTAACAAGTAACTTAAAGGAAAATCCTTGAGTGTGCTGCTATTGAATGTTACCAAAATATAAATCTGCACCCTAGATTTTTCCCATTATCTCCATTCCTGAAAGAACTACTAATTTCCCAAACTAAGATACAGCTACAAAAATGATAAAAAATTAAAAGAAAATGGTTAAAGCCATGACCTCATGTTATGGGTAATGCATAAATTAATCCCAAACTAAATTAATTCAAATATCAATTTGCACAAAATTACTAAAAACAAAAAAGATTTCCAAAACATCCTTTACTCACTTTAATTGAATTGTATCACTTCACATCATCCATAGCTTGTCTGAAGTTTTGAGCTAACCTGATGAATAGTTATGAGTGTTTCTAAACTTGAAAAATTTTAAAAACCAACAACATTTTGGCTCTTATATATAAATACTTGTTACAAAATAAAATCCTTGCATTTGCCTTTGTTCTGCCATGTCTAACCTTCATGGCTAGGACCTACCATGCCACTTACATAATAGCAAACCATTCATATTCCCTCTGTATTCCACTAGTGATAAGTAAGTTCCACTCAAACAACTTCTTCCCACAAAAACCATTGTCCTGTGAAACAAACTCCCAAGTGGATGTTTCCCTGATCACTACAATCGTGACCTGTTCAAGTTTAGAGCCAACCGTTATCTTCACTTCCTATCCATATAAACCTTCTACCTTGATTGGCCCCTGGGCTTTGTACAGGGTGAACCCTACAGTTAAAAAAAAGAAAGGAAGAGACAATTGAAATTTCTAGAGCACATGATGAGGAAAGAGTGCTTGGAAAATGTGATACTCACAGGACAGTTTAAAAGCAAGCGGTGCTGAGGAAAACAACATATAACATTCTTAGTGAGCTTAAGTAAATGGATGGGGAACAGGGTTTAGAAGAAATAGCAAAAAGACAAAATTTATTGAGCTATAAAGGACAAGAAATTGTGCAGAGCCAACATTGCCTACATCCTTATGGGACATGGCATATAGACAAGAAAGATTTTAAAGTAAAAAAAATGAGCTGAAAAGTAAAGATAAGGAGAAAAACATAATAAAAAGGTTGGAGATCATTTTGGAGGTGCAGTAGATAGTTACAATGAGCTCTGTCCAGAAAAAGTCTTGTAGATCCTCTCTTCCTTGTCTGTAAAGCTCACCTTTTATTTAGGTTTTTGACCATGCATGCAAATTAGCAATGATTTTAAGTGAGCTAGAACCATGCATGCACTTTAACTAAATTGCAAATGGCGGATCCAAACTCACATGTGAGACATCATGGCCTTGTTGGGATCAGTTTACCTATGTTTTTGTTGTTGTCTGAGTGTTGGGATTCCAAACTATAACAGCAACAACAACAACACATCTTTTAAATGAAACAAAAAAGAGATTATTTTCTGAAGAAACAGTAGAAGCAGAACATCAGTGGGAAATAACATGTTATGGAGTGGTTTCACAGTGAAGGCTTGTATTTGTACTAAGTCAGTCTAAAAATAGGTTCAACGTACAAAATCGTTAGGAACTTGATATAATAGGTAATGACGGAGAGAAATCTAGTTGTGGTCACTGATACTTTAGTATCCGACTAACGGTCGTCCGGCATCAACTGACTGACCGAACCACTGAGCGACTGCCTCCCTCGTTACTCTTACTAATCCTACTTATTATAGGTGGGAGAGTCTATTAACTATAGAATAGGTGTATTCCACTATAACATAACATTTGTACATTCTTTTCAGAAACATACAATGACAATAAAGGGTTCAATTTTCCTTGCAGTTAAGTTGTGTTTTATCAAGTAATTAAGTGTCTTAGTGTGATGTGAAGTGTGTGTTCAGACTTACCTTATGATAGTCAGCCTAATGTGTTTGTGAGTGCATAGACCAAGCCTTAGTCAGCGGCTGAACATCTCATCCATTGTGTGTGTGTGTGTGTGTGTGTGTGTGTGTGTGTGTGTGTGTGTGTGTGTGTGTGTGTGTGTGTGAATATCAAATTGGCCTCCAAAATTGTTTTGACTCCTGAAAAGCAGTAGGCTTCTATGTTTATATTCATAAGAGGGATTCAAAATCTAATTTCATATAGTGGTATGAATTTTTTGAATATAAGTTTTTCATTCATGAGAAAATAATTTCACACTGGTTTGCGAAAATCTTTTTCTTGATTTTGTGGGAGTGGTGAAGGGAGTTATTATAGTTTTTATCTAAATGGTCTGAAGATAACACATGGTATGTCTACACCTATGTCCACAAGTACCGTAATTCCCCATGTATAATATACCTTCATCCATAATGCACACCTCTAAAATTGTACTGAAAGTGTGGAAAAATGCTTCTACTCATGCATAATACGCACTCCTTGTTTGGTAATCAAACCCTATAAATTGTAACTCTCTAATTTCATTACAGCCTAGCATTTCCTGCTCTTACAAAAAAAATGGTTTTAAACATAGAATAATTTTATTCTAATTTAGTTTTAGGATAATTCTTATATTATTTTACATTTGTAAGTATTGTTAGGTACATATGATTGTATTTGACATCCTTATGGGGTTGTAATCACTAAATGTTAGTGTCAAATTGTCATATTTTTGGCAAGTAGTCATTTTGCAACTGAAATCAACTGATGAAATGATAATTTTTTTTAAAGATATTTTTGTAGATGTGCATATTATGCACATCTACAAAAAAAAACATAATTCTGCTTATTATTTTTTACAAAAAATGTGTCAGGGGAATTACAGTATTTTGGCAGTATTTATCCTTGTAATGATAGTTTATTAAACAAACCTTCTGATGGGATTTTATTGGTTGACAAATAGATATAAAGGATTAAATTCCTATAGCCTCTTAGCCATGGCTAAGTTAGAGTTTCTTGGTTCTATTTTCACCACAAGAGGAAATCAAAGAAGAAAAAGAGACAATTTAAAAGGAAAGAAAGAAAGATGAGTAAGGGAAGATTTGAGAAATTAAGATTTAATATGGAGATCTGGAGAAGATAAACTAAAAACAAACTGAAAAGAGAACTTATAAAATAGGAAAAGGAAAAGTTGTATAAAAATAAAAGAAATGACAGATGAGTATAAGAGAGAAAGATGAGTATAAGAAATAGAGATGAGTATAAGAGAGAAAGATGAGTATAAGAAATAGAGATGAGTATAAGAGAGATGAGTATAAGAAATAGAGATGAGTATAAGAGAAAAATAATTATAAGAAATAGAGATGAATATGAGAGTATAAGAGAGATCAGTATAAGAAGTAGAGATGAGTATAAGAAAGAAAGATGATTTTAAGAAAGAGAGATGAGTATAAGAGAGATGAGTATAAGAAATAGAGATGAGTGTAAGAGAGAAAGATGAGTATAAGGGAGTATAAGAGAGAAAGGAAGACTAGAAAGAAATGAAGGTGTTGCTAGACTGAGCTTGGAGATAAGATGAGCATGAAACATAGGTAAATAGTTGGGAGTAAATGAAGAGTAAGCTGGAAGGAAGTACTTTTTGTTCTTTCTTTCAGCTTACTCTCTGAAAAACAGATATAAGGAGTAAAGAGAAGGTAAAGAAGGAAGAGTCAAATCAAGTCAAAGGTGAATCAATTTGGGGATAATAAAAAGAAGTGAAAGGGAGTTGGAGATAAAACGTGATAGAAGAAAAGGGAAAGAGGATAATGAAAGAAAATGGAGTAAAAAAGAAAAAAATCACAAAGAATGAAAAATGATGACAAGATAAAAAAAAAGAAAATGTGGAAAAACTGAAAGAAATTAAAGAGAAAATAAAGAGAAATAAATTGTAGAGAAAACTGATCTTATAAATTGTAAATGAGAAATACGAAAAAACTTGAAGACAAGAGATTGAAATAAATAATGAAGGAATAATGAATAGAGAGAAGAAGATATGAGACACAGGATGAATGGATATTAAATTATGTTGAAGAAAATGTTGGTAATGCATCAAGAAACAAAAAGGAGAAAAGGAGAAGAGCCTAAGGCCATACTTAAAAAAAGAGAAAGAAAGATTGTAGTAAAAGCAAAATGGAGGAATATCTAAGTACAATGATAAATTTAACAAAATAAAGACCAAAACTTGAACCAGTCATTGATAAGTATAGCAAGGGGTTTATGCTGAGGAGAATGACCAGTGACAAGAGTCAATGACTAGATGGACAAAGAATGGACTCTGAAAGACAAGTAACTTTGGAATTGGAGTGAATATAGGCACTTTACCTCAGTAGGTCAAATGCAGTAGGAAAGAAAGGAAGAAAAATTAAATAAATATACAGGATATGTCAACAAAATAGAACAGGCTTACTTAGATAGCTCTATAATAAACAAAGATAGATAATAAAACAGGCTCAAAATGAGGTAGGTAGATATATAGATAATGAACGGGCTCAGACTGAGCTAGATAATGAACAAACTGAGATATATAAATAATCAACTGTCTTAGATAGTAAACACCCTGATAGATAATGAACAGGCCAAAATATAGATGTTCACACCATATAGAATTTACAGATTTTACAAGTACATGAGGCATATTATAAAAAAAAACGTTTCCTGAGTTTAGGCAAACTTCTTAACTATTGTAAAAATCAGCATTCAAATCTTAACCCTTTTTTCCCTTGGGCTTGAACATTGGATTTTAACATCAGAGGCAAATCTGTTATAAATCTATTCTCCTTTCATCTTTGTCTTTTGTCACTGTTTTGAAAGAAACAACCTTTTTGACACTTTACTAATGTAAAGGTAAAAAGAACTCTTACATTGTTTACTAAGCATTCTTGCATTTAAATGCCACTGAATAAGGTAGTCAAGGAAAGCAAAATGAAAGGACTAACTGTTAAATGTGAGAAGACAGAAAATTCATAACTTTCAGCAAAAGAAAATGCCCAAATTGCAAATTATATATCAAGAAAGTGCAAAAATTTTACTGTGTAACAGGGATTGGAAGATGAGAAATAATGTGAATTATTGTTGGTATGGAAATTTGAATTGGTGAGCCGGCTCTCACACAAATGCCCTTAAGAAAAGTAAGAATCCATTTTTTCTCTTTTTAGTTATAGGTTAAGCAACATCATAGACTGTGTTTTCAATCTTTCAGTGTTAAGTAGTCTAGAAAAAAGACAATGTTGAATTCAGAACCATGGAGAGCACAACAGGAAACTACTCCACTATCTTTCCTAACAAGCTGGAAATTCATAGTTATTAATGAATTAAGGGAATCTGTTAAAAGCCACAGCAACCTAAAGAGATATGGAATTTACAATAAAAAATATTGTTATAAATTAAAGCTTTTATTTATATCTATTAAAGTTGACTAAAGGAGGGAAATATGAATTAGGAGGTCTAGTGCAGGCCACTCTTTCAAGTGGGGAGAGTTTAATACCTATCATTCAAAATATTGGCTTTTATCTGTGCTTCAATATTGACCAGCAAACTTGGTGAAAAAGAGATAAACTTGAAATAAACAATTATCAGTCTCCACAGTTTCCTTTATTATCTGTGAATTCCCTTGACTTCTTGGGAATGATGGTGGAATGATTTCCTAATGCCATCTCTATAGTTCTAATTTCAGAATTTTTCTTCTACCAAGGTTGAAGAGCTCAATCTACTCTTTTATTTAGCCGATAGATGAGAGGAAAAGGGCAATAGTGTCAAAGTGGATCTAGCAGACTTGGTCAGAATTGAAACTCAGTTCATTAATTCAATATTCTACACCAATAAACATTATGCTATATGCTTGTGACACAACCATTTTCCAGTAGTAGATTTATGAATTTATTTTTCCCAACGGAGATTTATCCCTTGTTTCTTATTTAGGATTGGGTTTCCAGCACCTTCTAAAATCTTTTTTTTCATTCTCTTTCACTTCCAGTAGCCCTTTGCATCTTAGTGGCTTTATTGACTTGCTTGAGGTGAATTGTTTAAAATACAGCTTCCAAAACATTAGAATGTTATCATACCTAAGATCTCTTTTATTTCTTTATATTTCTTGAGTTAAGTTGTATCAAAATCAACCTTCAGCATTTTATGTAAATCTTCTTGGAAAAGACTGATGTCTGATATGCATTGGTAACAGGCAAAGCCTGGAATTGAACAAAGGAGACTGAGAATGAATCTGTACAAATTTCCTTTCTAATATTTGAGTCATTGTGCAAGTATTAATCTCTTGAAGAGGACTAAGACATTCTAGGAAACAAATGCTAGCTAAACAAATGCATTTATATTTAATTTTCAATCTTGTTCATAAAATCAAGCACTTAAAATTCAGTTCCTAAAATTCAATAATTTGGGAGAATTGCTCCCCCCACTCAAGACCTGCAAAAGTGTTCTCTGTATTTCTTTTATTAACTCTTAGAATATTCTACACTGCAACCACTTAAAGGAAATATTTCAATCTGGAAAATTTATAAAAATAAATAAAAAAAAAAAAAGAAGAAATCAGCAAAACCATTAAAAAAATCAACAAATTATATTTGAGTAAAGACATTGATTGTATCTTGAGCATGTTCTTGTGATTAAAAATACCAAGAGGAGAAGGAGTTTTGTTCAGTAACAGAAAGATAAACACCTTGTTGAAAATGAATGCACCTGCTGATGACAACTGTCCATTTCCTCTCAACTTCCCTGGAGAGAAGGCTGTCCAGTAAGTAAAACTCATCTTAGCATTTAAATAAATGCTTTCAGAAAAGAAGCACAAGGAATCAATGATAAGGTGAATGAAGAAGAGGAGGGAAAAAGAAAACAGAAGAGTAAGGATGAGTAGGAGGCAAAATAGAAGAAGAGAGTGTAATCTCTGTTAAGGTGAATGACAAAGGGAAGAGAAAAAGACAACGGAAGAGTAAGGAGGAGTAGAAGATAAAATGGAAGAAGAGAGTGTAATCTCTGTTAAGGTGAATGACAAAGGGAAGAGAAAAAGACAACGGAAGAGTAAGGAGGAGAGAAAGGAATGGAAGAGAGAGTGTAATCTCTGTTAAGGTGAATGACAAAATGAAAAAGACAACGAAGAGTAAGGAGGAGTAGATAAAATAGAAGAAGAGAGTGTAATCTCTGTTGAATGACAAAGGGAAGAGAAAAGACAACGGAAAGTATTAGGAAAAATAAAATGAAGAATAAATAATCTCTGTTAAAATCAAAGGGAAGAGAAAAGAACAAAAGAGTAAGGAAAATAAAATAGAAAAAGAGAGTGTAATCTCTGTTAAGGTGAATGACAAAGGGAAATGAAAATATTAAAATAAAAAAGAAGAATAATCTCTGTTAAGGTGAATGACAAAAACAACGGAAAAATAAGGAGTGGAGAAGAAGAGTTAAACTGAAACAAAGGGAAGAAAAAGACAAAAAAGATATATAATGAAAAAGATAAAAAAAAAACATTCACAATCAGCAACGGAAAATTATGAGAATAAATAATAAAATCGAGAAATGAAAAAATGGAAAATAAAAGAAGGAAATAAAAATTAAAAAAAAATAGAAAAACAGAAATGGAAAGAAACTGAAAGAACAATAAAAATGAAAAAATGAAAAAAGTAAAAAAAAATTACAATCAGCACCATAAGAAAAAAATAAACATAAAAAGAAAAAAAGAGAAATGGAAAGTGAAAGAACAATAAATGAAAAAATATAAGCTAAAAGAGAAAGATATTGAAATCCAAAGAACAAAATAGAAGAATTATGGAACAAGGAGATAAAAAAAATGTAATGGAAATAAAAAAATATAATGAAGAAAAAGAAATAATGTAGAGGAATGAAGAAATTAAAGAAATAACATAGAAGAATGAAGAAATTTGCGAAGAAAAAGACATAATGTAGAAAGAAGAGATTAAAGGCAAAAAAGAAATAGCATAGAAGGAGAAAATTAAAGAAAAAGAAATTACAGAGAAGATTGAAGAAATTAAAGAAGAAAAGTAACTAACATGGATAAAAAAGAAGAAAAATAAGAAATATTACAGTAAAAATTAAGAAACAAACAAAAAACAGATAAATAGAGAAGAAAAAAGCAATAAAATGTGTAAATTTGTTGCTGTTAATATAATTTCTTCTTCAACAGCAACAAATCCACATAGTCAATAATGTCAAAAAGGAAGAAACATTTAAAACTGAAAAATGGAGTAACAAAAGAATTGTTAAGAAAAAGACTAAATCTTTTAAAATATTTACACAACAATATATATATATATATATATATATATATATATATATATATATATATATATATATGAAAATGTGTTTGATTAGAATTGATTTCCTTATTGATTTCCAGTCACTATTATTGGTCAGTAACTTTTTTTTCTATCCCAAAATGTTTGTCATTCTTATAAAGACATGTTTATTTCTATTTATTTTTCTCCCTGGGCCAACATTTTGCCTATGTCAAATGTCTGACTGCCTTTATTTTACTATTCTTTTGCTTTTTTATTTAATAAAAACAAAATTGACTCTAGGGGAAAATCTTTTATTTTCCCTTGTGGGTGAAATCAATAATTTTTTTCTTGAATTAAGGGAACAAAGATTGACGAAAATCTGAATCTCAACATAAATGTTTTGTGTATTGGATATTTCTGTGCTTTTCTCATAAAAGTTTGGTAACTGACAAGTTTCTTATATTTGCTCTTTAAAAGCATGTTTAACAAATTCATGGATTAAAGAATTTTCTGTTTGCATTAAAAGATTATGTTTGAAAGCTTCATAAAATTCCTTGTTTAACAATTACAATAGGTAGATTTTTTTCTCTAGTTTTACTACATCTTGTTAGTGTTGCTTTTATCCATAAACTTTGGGTCAATTCACTCTTCATTTACTGTTACTCTTTTATTCTCTGTCAGTCTAAAACAAGCATTCACAACCAATGTGCCACAGAACATTAATGTACTATGAAAGTATGATTCGATTCAAAATCCATTTATAAATATTCCTTCTAATATTAGACTTCAGTTAAGTGAAGAAGAATTGACCAACATTTCTTGTGACTGAGAGCTCAAAATAAAACATTTGACCGTACCCAATGATGGATTTAGGACAAATGAGGCCCTGTGCTAGTTAAGTTGAGGCCCCTTACTCACAATCACCAGGCTGTACGACAAGAGTGAACTATGTATGATGTTGTCTCGGGTGTAGGTGCATAGAGGTTCTGCTACATGTACCCCAACAAGAGAGGCGTTACATTTAGAGCTGCCCCTTACTGGAAGGGACTGCACTCCATATTTTCTGCTTGACTTCCACGGTTTTCGAAATCAGAGTTGTCCCTCTAGACGAGCTGACACCTAAGCTAGGGGAAGATAGATTCATGCCTTTTCTGAGGGCATTAGTGCAAAGTGAAGTGAACAAAACAGACGTGATTAGAATTTGCACTCATCTCAATGATTTGACTTTCTGCACAGATAATCATAACACTAACCACACATCCAACAACTTGGATTGAAACATTTTAAACAGGAAAAATAGTTTTTATTTCTTACTACACATTATCTATATCAGTGATTCCTACCCATCCTCTTCAGTGTTCCACAAAAGTATGATTGATTTGAAATGCTTTCATAAATGCTCTAGATATCACGACTTTGAATTTATTAGTTAGAGGAGAGATTGAGGTTTTCCTGTTGTTCAGCACACTCTTGCAGATAATCATTCTATCAGTAAACAGTAGCTTCAGTTCTCTGAGGACATGCTTGCACTCATTATGTGCAGAGACAAAGAGACATCTGTGGTTATTGTGGTTATTGTGGTTCACCAAAGTTTACTATTCTTCTTATTATTATTATATTAATATTATTATATTTATTATTATATTTATTATTAGCACTACTTGCTCCTTTCTGATTCTCTTTGTTTTGTAGGACTCAGTGTACTTCCTTCTCTTCCCTACAACTGTGACAGTGAACTGCTCTTACCTATAAATGTGGCAAGTAGCCACATTAGAATAGGATTTGAGTAGTTTTTGTTTACTCAAGTATTTCCATTCTATGTATAGTATTCAATATATTTCTTTGTTTCCTCTACCTGGTCATCTGTTCCATTGATACTCTCTCTAACAATGACCTTGCTAATTTTTAGCTATTTTGAACAAAGGCAACATTACAACATTGTTGTACTTATGAAAAATGTGACACAGAAATCTGAAGGCACATAGAAACAGTGAAAGATGTCTTCAAGAAACTCAGTAAAGTATTATGACATAAGAAAATATGAGAAACAAAAAAGAATCTAATCTAAACTAATCTTCTGTGTGGCAATAAATCCTCTCAGGTGAAGAAGAGACTTGATTCAACAGTGATGTTGTTCTACTGGCAAATGCTAAGAATGCCATACACAGAACAGGTGAGAAATGAGGGAGTATTAAGGAAAACAAAACAAAACAAAGAAACTTATACCTACCTACAATTAGGATAAATCAAAATGTCTGGAGAAATATTATGAGGAATGAGGGTCCAGAGAATTTAACACTCATAAGATATAATGACGGCAAGTGAAACAATGCCTGACCTACTTAATGAGCTTAGGTGCATGGATAATATAACAGGAACAAACATGAATGGTAAAGGGTTATGGATTTACAGAAGGTTTTAGGTAGGTTATACAATTTTTCTCCTTGTCCTTTTTGACTTCAATATGTCCTTTGAGTGCCAAAAGCCCTCTTTTCACATGTCCCAGAAATTTCAACTGTCTATTTTTGATTCTAAGGATAAGTGACTATTTAGTTTCCAATTTTTCTTAAACATTTCTCATTGCTCACATGCTCCATCCATGGTATTCTCAGTATTCTTCTGTATAACCAAATTTCTGCTGCCTCAAGTCCTCTTCGTTTGTGACGAAATCATATACTATTCATTGGTCTATTCTGCTATTCTTCCCAGTCCTCACTTTTTAGTTTTGACAGAGTCCAAAAGCATCTCAGAGTCTTTCTTGGTGACAAATTATTTTCCCTCCTTCAACCACTCTCTCACAGTCAGGATGCAACAAGGCTCTTGCTCCTCTATCACAGCTTCCTTGAAAAGTGTTCGGACAAACTCATTCCTTGATTAAGCAGGTCCTAACCTTCATGGCTAGGACCTGCCATGTTACTTACATTGCAGCAAACCACTAACTTTCCCCCTGTATTTCATTGGTAAGAAGCTTCTTACCGTGAATCACTACTCAGTGGAACAGACTCCCAAGAGGATGTTTCCCAGCTGTTAAAATCTTAACTTGTTCAAGTCTAGGGTTAACCATTACGTTCTCCTCCTATCCATATAAACTGCCACTTGAGGTAACCCTCTACTTCAAATTGTCCCCACATGCATTGTAAATGTTGCACCTTACTGTAAAAAAAAGAAATTAATAACTTAATTGTATTTATATTTTCAGTCGTAGTTACTAAATTAATATCTCGCTCAAAGTTTTTAACCTTAATTTGATCTTAATCATTTCTATGCAATAACCATTAATCTACATAAGTTCAACTCACCTACACAATGGCCTGACCTTAAGACATTATGGACTCTTATTCAATGTTGTTTCAAAATCTCCCTATGTCAGGGACTGGAATTTAGTTGATATTGAGTTTTGTCTCTACTGAGAAAGTGTAAATCATTCTTTGACTGTTCCTGACATTGTCACTTGTATTTTTCTTTTAGATTTGTATCATACCACTCAATTCCATTTTCTTTCAATTCCCTTTTGGTCTCTTTCTTTGAATTCATGAAAGTACCTGTTTCAAAATTGAAATCCACTTGCCCCTTTCGGGTTAGCAAACATTTCCCTGTCAGATTTGTTTGAAGACAAATAAGAAATGGATTTTTGTTATATTTTTCATGGAATTGGGAAGAATAGACCCTGCAAGGCCAGGATCCATTCATGCCATGTGTGTTGGCTGTATTTAATAGAGGTTTGCTTAAGGACTTGCAAGGTTCTCTTAGTCCTGTTCATTGACAAATAAGAAAACTTTTTTTTTTCACTCTCTGTGTAATGTATGTTTTCTTTAAGCTTTCTAGTTAGAAGTAAAATGAAAAAGAAAATAAAGGTTGGAAGAAAAAAGAAAAAAAGCTATGTAAGAGAACAGAGCACAATCGCAACAGCAATCATTTAAGACATGCATTCAATTAATAAGGAAAAAAAAATTGTTACACACTTTAGCAATGATGTAAATTTTCAAATTATCATAAGAATTATTTCTATCATGGAACCCATTTTGCCCAAGGTAAGGCAATAAAGCCACTAAAATGCAAGGTTCTACAGAGTGTTAGGTAATATGAGAAAAAAAAAAGACTATTAAAGAGAGAGAACAATAAAAGAATAGGAATTAAGAAAACAAGATAACAACTGACATTGGAGAAATTTTTGAAGATCAAAGTTGACTGGAAAGCAAGAACCTGGAAGAGAATTCCACAAGCAAAAAGCGTAATAGAAGAAATTGTTTGTATAGAACTTAGTTCCATTTAGCCATTTCAACTGTAAGATGATGAGACCTTGCTGCCAATCTAGTACTGCACTTAAATTCATAAAGTCAAGATACCATATTGGAAAGCTCGTTGGAACAATTACCATGAAAGTATTTATAAAAAAAGTTACAGGGAAGCTATATTACAGTGGTGGGAAAATGACTGAATCCAAATTACCAGGTCAAGACCAATAACATTGCAGATTCTTTGAATTTTATCAAGAATCTCTAAATACACAGAAGCACCAGACCATATGTGTTGGTGGAAAACTTTAGCCCAAGAAGGTGCAAGGGGTCACTCTCCTGGATGTTAGCATCTAATGGTTAAACAAGATATTTGTTTAAATTAAAAACAAATATCTTTCCTCTTATACTGTCACCTATATTAACTGTTAAAGTATGGTAGGACTTCATCACCATAAGAAAAGTGCAAAGAGTTTCATAAGCAAGAGGTGCAAGAAAATAAACTAATATGGTTAAATTTAGCCATTTCAACCGTAAAATCATAGGAACTGTCAATCTAGAACTTTGCTTAAATTCATAAAGTCTAGGTACCAAAGAAGAAAGCTCATTAGAACAATTACCATAAAAATATTTATAGAAAAAGCACAGTGAAGCTATGTTACGGCACTGGGAAAGTGACTGAAGCTGAGATGCCAATAACATTTCAGATTCTTGATTATATTTTATCAAGAATTTCTAAATATATAGCAGAAGCACCAGGCCAGATGTAGCAGCAATATGCAATACATTGATGAATGGTAGAGTTATAAATGTCTAAGATAGACTCTGGTGAGAAAAAGTGAATACATGAATTTAAGTGTGCTACTAGATTGGTATCTAGGTCCCACCCTTTTACTGTTAAAATAGCTAAATGCAACCTCCACTTCTATTCCAACAGTTTCTTTTCTTGCACTTCCCACCTGTGTAACTCCCTTCCTTTTACTTACTTCCATGATAACTACAAGCTTCAAAACTGGACATGTAATGTTATTCACAAACCTCTACTTGAATCTCATTGATCTTTTGTCTTTTTCTCAATCCTCCCTATTCTCAGTTTTCTCTTGCACTTTTATTCACTGTTACCCCCTGAATACTAGTGTCATAACCACCTTGCTTGGGGGTGAAATAATTAAAAAAATCTGAAACCAAATAAAAATTTTTCCCTGGTGTCCCAATTGCTTCCTTGATAACTAAAATCTTCAAAGATTTAAATGCAACATCAATTACCATCATCTGCCTTCTTGAATCCTGTTCATTTTTTGTCCTTTTCTCCATCCTCCCCATTCTCGGTCTTTTGCTTTCAATATTCTTGTAGTTTAAAAATATTTCCTGGCTTTAAATAATCTGAGAAATATTAATAAGCCATAAAAACATATCACTCCATCCACCTGGCAAAATAACACAATGCCTGAGTTGTACAG